TAAAAACCCTCCTACCTTATTATATAAATATATATAAAAATAATAATTATTATTATTAAATAGTAATACTATATTATTTTTGTCACGTTTATATCCAACATTTTTTTTCCCAAGACTAGGGTCGCTCCCACCACGAAAATTAACAAGATCATATAATTTGCACAAGTTACTTCCTAGTTCCTTCACAAAATAGCCACTTTTCTTTGAGCCTGAGAGCGCATTTGGTTGAGTTTTGCATTCAATTTTTCAAAGCCCAAAACTCAAAACGTGTTTAGTTTAGAATTTTCACAAAATTCATTTCAAAACCTCATTTCAAACAACTCAAAATCCAAAACTTGTTTTGTTTTCAAGTTTTCACAAAATTCTTTTGAGTTTACTGTTGGTGCTACCCAAGCCCACCACACTCAACTCTCACTCTCTCTCACTCACTCTCAATGAGCAAGAGCAACCCTCTCTTTCTCTGTCATCCTTTCCCATCTTTCATCTTTTCCACTGTCCTGCCATTCCCTTTCTTGTGAGTAATTTTTTTTTGTTATATATTTCTTATTATTCAGTAACTAACATATGAACCGTGCGATGGATAGACTAAATAAATAATTAAAAATAATTAAATAATAATGTAAAATTTATTTAAAATGTAAAGAAAATAATTTAGAACGAACAAACTTTTAAAAACTTTATTAGAAAATTGTAGACTGCCTGAACTCTCTCCGCGCGGCCCCCTTTTCGAAGAGGGTGCGAATTTGGGTTCTAGCTACTACAGTTCGGACTCCTGTCACGGTTCTGAATCTAATCTCACAAAGTGCAATGTAAGACTGATAAATCACCAAAGAGTCCAAATCTGGCAATTGGTTTTGGAAAATCAATTTTGTATCAAAAAGCACCAAACATGGACTGTTTTGCCAGATTACAGAGTCGCCACCTAAATATTTTATTTTTGAGAAATTTAGGAAACCCAGACTCGTGCCTAAGGCCACGTATTCGTGATCACCAAAGTTGCCTCGACTCGGGAACTTGGGTATGAGAGGGGAAGGTCCTGAAATGAGCACCCCCGCTCGCCCGATCAAAGGATCGGCCCCTACTAATCATGATATGTTGTTTTGAAAACACATGTGTTCTTATTCCGGTTATTTAGCTAACTTACTACGTGATGCGCACAACATACAAGTATAGACTAGATCGCCTAAATTGGAACAAAACATCTCATGTTTGTTTTCGAAAATAGTTTGAATTTGCCACCCTCAAATGGGCTTAGAAATGCGGATTTGCCACCAAACATCTCATGTTTGTTTTTGAAAATGGTTTGGAATTGCTACCCTCAAGTAGGCTAAAGTACGGATTTGCCACCCTCAAGTGGGCTTAAAACAAGACGATTTGCCACAACCAAGTGGGCTTAAAACTCGCATTTGATGAATTGTTCCAATTCAAGTAATAAAGCCTTTATCCACATGCATTCATGCAGTTTATCAACTAAGCAAGTAGCCTCATGGCAAGTATGCTAACATGGCAACATACACATCTCATGCAGTATGCTAAAGTGTAAACACTCACAGTGTACTCCAAGCCAAA